TATATATATATATATATATATATATATATATATATATATAAAAAAAAAAAATTAATCTAAGATTATTTACCTCCCATTTATACACACACCATTATATGGTTTGACATATAATTAAATCATTTCAATAGCTAATATGTGACACAAAGTGTAAATTATTGGGACCAAAGTAGGTTATAACCCTAAGTGCTCTTTGACATAAGACTACTAAAAAGTGATGGATAAAAAGGAAAAGAAAAAAGAAAAAAGAAAAAAGAAAAAAGAAAATTGAAAAGATAAAGGTCTTCCTCATGCTATTATCATAAAGCTCCAAAGCAAAATATATTAAAAATAATTCCATTTCATTGGTAAGAGTTAATCGCGGATTTTGTAGGTCATTTATAATTATTTTTTTTAATTTTATGATTTATTTATAGGAGATTTTTATTTTTATACGTAAAAGGTTCATGAGAAGTTATTTTTTTTTTATATTATTCATTCTGTACATCTAATCAAGAGATCTTAGTTTCTGTGTACCTATACATATCAAACATCTTAATTATTTGATCGATAAATTCAAAAAATAATATTAGAAAATATTAATCACTGTCTATAATTTTTTAAACCTTAGACAATAAAAACAATATTTCATCAATTTCAAAGGCTATAATTACACAAATTTTAAGATAGAGACATAATCTAAATGGTGATCTAAAAAGGAGATATTGATGTAAAAGCAGAGAAAACAATCAAACTCCAAATATAAAAGAAGTAATAATTCACTTAGAAGTAATAATTAGTAAATTAACATTTATTCTATAATTTGATTTGTTATTTCAATTAGAAATGTTGGTAAATTAAGAAAGGCAAGGCAAGCTTGACTTTAATTCCTCATAGAACTACATGGTATAATTGAATATTAAATAGCCAACAAATCTGGGAAAATCAAATAATACTTCAAGATGTCACTTCATTCTTGATAGAGGCATTAAAATAAAAAGATTTTAATTATATTTGAAACTTCATTGAAATATAATTAATGAAAAGTATTGTTGACTTCATACATAATACAATCATCAAGATTCTATGTAAATATAAATAACTTATCTTCTAAGAAATGAATTTTTTATTTTATTTTCTTTGGACAATGTCACTTGGTTGTAAGAAGATCAAGCTAGAAGTAAACACCAATAAATAAAATGATAACTTTTTATATTTTTTAAAAATATAATAAATTTAGTCTTTTGGGAATTGTATTAACAATCACTATAGTTGATAATAAGAATAAAAAAATTAATAGATAAATTATCTTTTAATTTTTTTAATTTAAACAAATAAAAATATTTTTTATATAATAATAAACAAGCAAAAATAAACGAAACAAAGTAACAAATACTAAAATGAATGTCATAATTTACTCAAACAAAACGTAGAGAAGGAAACTTAGAAGCTTTAATTAATATTGAAACAAGCAATATAAACATTATTTATTTATAATAATAATAATAAGAAAAAGGATAGGGAGATGAAAAGTCCCAAAGAGACATGTTTTGCCTAAGTACATACACAATATGCTAATTGAATTTGGATCTCAAATTATTTTTGAGAAAAATTGTTTGATCTTATTATTTTTTTCTCGATTAAAAGATTGTTCGTATGAAATCTTACGAATATTTACATTAGGCTAAGACTGATTCATAACACATTTCTAAGTTACTTTTGACTTGATAAAAAAAAATCAAATTTCATATCATTTTTAGACTCACCTTATCTAATCATTAACTTTGATATCAGGTTACGCTAAATTTATCTGCTTTTTAAGTCAAAACACATGATTTTCTTGAAAGACCTCTTACAAGTCACAATTAAGAATTTCATGTACTTTATATTATAACTTTAAAATTTTTCAACTATCAATTTTGCATCCAACAAATATTCAATATATAAAAGAAAATTTTCACGAATAGCAATTCAATTAAATTACTTTTATTTAATTTGATTAAAAACTATATTTCCCATTAAAATACAATGTACTAAGGGGAGGTACCACTTTTATTTCGTATCAAATACAATAATTTGACTTTGTCAAAAACTACATACTATCTAATATTGTGCAAAGTAGATAAAAACAAATTAAATGATGATATTAAAATCGAATAATCATGCATATTCAATCATCATGTGGGTAATTAGTTGGGCCAAGATTTACAGGTTCATTATTATTAGGAAAATTTTTATAAATTATATCAGTTTAAGAGCTAATTATTTAGATATCTTTTATTTTATAATATTACAAATCTTATCAGATTTTGATGTGTCCAAATATGTTCAGATATATGTATCTCAAGATTCATCAGGTCAAAGTTAGGCGTAATTTATTCTATATAAATTGTATCTAAGTGAATTTACATGCATATGAGATATAATACATAATAAATCTTTCTCGCCTCCTTTCAATCTCACTCCTCATTCTCGTGTGTGTGTGTGTGTATATATATATATATATATAATATCTCAAATTTATGAGAAACACATCAAATACATGTATCAGGTTTCAAAAAGCCCTAGTTATATTTTCATTCCAAATACACCTCTCCTGTTATTTTTTGAAAGTATATTTGACCCTGTTGTTCGAATTTTAAAAAAAATATACCTTTCGTTATATTTTCGTTCCAAATATACCAAATTGACTTTTTGACTTTAATCTCAATGGAGTGTAGGGTCAGTTTCATAATTTTGAATAATTGCAGGGCCGAGCTGTTAGTCACTCTTTACGCTACCACAAAAGAAGAGAAAGTCACTTTGGGTCCCCCAAAGTTTCAATTATGTCACTTTTATCCTCTCTTTTTTGTTTTTTGTTTTTTGTTTTTTTGTTATCATCATCATATCCAATTCCTCTATATTTTACATACCAAGAACTTGTGAAAACACAAAAATTAAAAAATAGAAACACTTAAATTTGAGTTCATAAGAAAAAAAATATGGCTAAGATGATATTTTTATTTGTTGTTTGCTTAGTATTATTTGCTTCTATTAATGTTAGTGCCAATTTTATGGACACTTTTCTTGTTATTGGGAAAGTTTATTGTGACACTTGTCGTTGTGGCTATGAGACTTCTGCCTCCAAGTATCTTCCTGGTAATATTATCAAACCCTTTTACTTTTCTATTCATTATTTATATATTTTTATTGTTTTTAGAAGCGAATTCAGAAATTGAAATGTGGTGAAATTTATTTAAATTCATTTTGTCTTTTACATTGTGGATTCAGAGTTCGCATTTATTATTTGTTATAATTTTGATTTATGAATTATATTTCGCATTGCGGGTATGAAATTCAGATAAGAAATAGTGATTTGGTAGAATTTGTAATCAGTATTTAGATGTGTTGGATTTTAAAATAAGAGGGTGAGTTTTGAGATACTTAGGATAAAACATCAATTAATTTGAATATTGTGATATTTTACTCCAATAATTTTATTTTCTTATCCTTATTAAGAATAGATGGTCTAAAGTAATTGTCATTTTAGAACATCTAAGATATAGTTAGAGTACATTTTTTTACTTAAGAATAATTATTGTTAGAAGTAATAAATATTGACTAATTAGCCTAAAAACATAAATGAAGAATATATACACATTCCTCAATATTGTAGTTGTGTGGATTGATTTTTTATTATTATTTATTGAAGAGAAATTAATATTCAAAATGATTAAAGATGGAGTGATAAATAAGAATATAACATTCAAAATACAGAGTAATGTGACAATCAAAATAGTTCGATGATAGTAAATTATTTATATCAATTTATTATTTTTTAAAAATATCGTGAATGATCCAAACTGAATAAGTAAAATTGAACATATTATAAGGTTCAACCAAATTTATTCGAGTTCACTTGAATTTGTGGTTGGATCTTGTCACTCCGCGTGCAAGAATCGTGGGAGTGTCTCATCTTTTTGTGTAATTTTGTGTGCATTTTTGCAAATCCAATGTATTTGTCTACTTTTAACTATTTGGAGTTTTAAATTTCTACAATATATTATATATTTTTCGAGTCTTTTTATTTTATCTTGAGAAGAAATAATTTAAAACTTTAAGAAGTAGGGAGCGAGTTATGATTTCTTAAGGACATACAAGCAACTTATGAGCTCGGATTAATATTCTAGTTCTTCTACATTTCTTATTTAATATTTTGAACGTATGATATCACTATTTGACACAATTCTTTCTTTGATTAATATATAAAAGAAGTACGGTAAATATCTATTTTGGCGTGAATTTATAGTTTCATTCTCGAATTATTGACAGCCTTAAAAATATTCTTTGACTGAACTTAAACAGGCCGTTGATTTTGCAATATGAGTGATACAACCTTAAATTCTCACCAAGTTTAAAGATGTTTCAATACTTCTCTCGATTTTTTTATTAATAGTCCATGCTCCTACATAAGTTGGAGACCACTTACTATGTCATGTATTAGATTGGGGAGTATCTAATAAGTTTAGTTTTTTTTAAAAAAAATTATCACCATGTGGTGGTGAGACATTTATATTGATGAATAAAATTACAACTAATAAGTTTAGTTAGTCAAGTAGATACGTGTTTTTAAGACTGTCAATAATTCGAGAATAAAACTAATAACTTTCATAAAGTTCAAAGGTATTTTCAATAGTTCTCTGTTTGATATATCATTACCATGGAAATAAATATTATATTTTTTTTAAAAAAAATGACAAGTCAAGCCTATTATATTGTTATACAATACACTTTTATTTACTAATTGTTGAATGTACTTTTGTAGGATCGAGGGTTAGAATCGAGTGCAAGAATAGGGACACTAACGATTTGGCATACACTGTTGAAGGTGTTACAAACTCTAAAGGAGAATACAAGATACTTGTGAATAGTGATCGCCGCGATGAATTTTGCGATGTCGTCCTCATTAGAAGCTCTGATCCAATGTGCGCGGAACCCAACACGGGCCGTGATCGCACCCGTGTTGTCCTCACTAGCAACAATGGCATGGTATCTAATACTCGCTTCGCTAATTCCATTGGGATTCCTTTATAATGAGCCTCTTGCTAGTTGCACAAAAATCCTCAAACAATATGAATTTTCAGAAGATCAATTTTAAATTATTATTATTATTGTTGTTGTTGTTTTTATGCCTTTACTTTAGAGTAATTGGACCAATTACTGATTTCGGTCTTTAGCTCAGTAATTTCATTTGGCATTGGAAATTTTATAGGGTGTCCTATTTTCTTATTTAACATTTAAGGTCTCATCTATTTTTATTAAGATTAAGATATTTGGATGTTCAATTAAATGATTAAGATATTATTTTTAAATTTAAATATTGAATGATAAAATTGTTTGTTTTTTAATATCTGAACATGTATGATTTATTTATTTATAAACATAACAAATATATAATTTAAATAAAAAATTAATATACTATTATATAAAATATTAATTTAATGAAATAAAGATTATTGTTTGATTAAAAAAATAAAATAATTACATTCACTAGTGACGGTGGTAATTAATGGTTGGTGTTAAGTAGTGACTTGTGATGATGATGATAGTAATTATAATGATAGAGATGGTTGGTATGTAATAACTGTAATGATCGATGCGACTGATAATAGTACTGACGATTATGATAATAACGAACTGAATAATATATGATTGTTAATAATCAATACTCAATTTTTTAATAAACTAATAAATGGACAGATCAATGACCAACCCAACTCACTTACATGCAAAGCGAAGATGTGGCTCTCTTATTGTAAAGCTTACATCCAAAATCCTCTTTTACTCTTGGGAAGATCATTATAGACACTAAATTTTGTGCAATTTGTCACCGCCAATTTACACCAATATTAGCATTTCCATTTAATATACATGCACATATAACTAACATATAAATATATATGTTCCTTGTTACTAATTGTTACACTCACCAATCACTATATTCCCCTTTTATATATATATTTTTGTATGAAAGAATATGGAGGAAGAAGAATTAAGCTATGATGAACTCAAGAAGAGAATGTGGAAGGACAGGATGCGTTTGCATAGGTTCAAGAAGAAGGGAGAAAACAAATTATTATTTGAAGAAGAAGAGATTGATGAGTCTAAAGCTCAAGAGCAATATTTATGTAGAAGGAAAAAGATGTCTAAAGCTCAAGATTCTATTCTCAAGTACATGGTAATGTTGCCATATATATTATGCTTTTATTTATTATATGCATAATATATGTATAAACATTTAAAACTCAAAAGTAAACTCCAACTTTGAGTATGCGTATTTTAGCTTGTTTTCATTGTGTCAGTTGATATATGACACAAACTTACAAAATAATACATATATAAATATTCAAACTTTGACTCAAATGACAAGTAAACATTCCATTACGTATTTTGAGTATGCACATCTAGACGTACACCTTAGCTTGTCTTCATTGTGTCAGTTGATACAACACGAACTTAAAAAAATAATACATATATACAGATATTCAAACTTTGTCTCGGCTGACAACTAAAACACTTGAATATGTACATGCAGACATACATCTTGATTTATCTTCATTGTTCCAGTTGAATACTGTAACTTACAAAATAATACATATATAGGTAATCAATATTTGCCTCAGTTGACAAGTAAACTCTCAAACTTTGAATATGCATATCTGGACGTACATCTTAGCTTGTCTTCATCGTTCCAGTTGAACACTCCAGCTTACAAAATAATTTAAAATATATATATA